TTTCATCATGTGATAAAGTATTTGAGCTGTTATTCATGCTAGAGATCATGTTTAGGTTGTATGCCGGTACTGTTGGGACCCGTAGTGGTTGTTTCTTGTTGTTGTCTTACTAATTTCTTTGATATTTCGTACTCAGTCATACTCATTCATTTCATATTATTTCTCAGTCTCTGTTGTTATTTATTGATATATTATATTATTATTTTTGAGCTAGTTTCATGATATTGTGAGCCCGTGAGTGAGACTGGAGAGATTGATGACTGAGTGAAGTCGAGACCCTGATTATGAGTGATATTTATGGGATCGGCATGCACGCCGCAACGGTTATACTGATTTATGTTAGCGCTTGGGCTAAAGGAACCCTCCGGAGTCTGCACACACCCCGACTGAGAGTAGTTAATATTATTGAGGGATGGATCTTCACTGCATATGGATCTTGTCCGAAGCATTATATACCTGGAGATGGATCTTCTCCACGAGCTAGATTGACCCTACTCAGTACGTGATTGATTACATGAGGCTGTCAGCATGGTGCATCACATATAATATGTGCATTGGCATGTAGAAATAGAGGAGTTATATTCTTCATATCACTCAGATTTTATCTATTTTACTATTTTGAGTTATCTATTGAACTTGAAAACATGCCCACATTTTTACTGTTTGAACTCGAAGAAGCGAGAAGGTGACCGCAGAAGCGATCAAGGAGGAAGCTGGCAGAGGTCGCAGGTGCGAGGTCCTTTCCGCACCTGCGTGTCCGCAGATGCGCGTATTGGATCGCAAAAGCGCATGGGCGCTTGGTGAGGCAGCTTCGCAGAAGTGAACGGCCCTTCGCAAAAGCGAACTGGGTGCCGTAGAAGCTTGAAAGGCCACAGATGCGGTTAAGTGAACCGCAGAAGCTGTTTTGCTAGGCAGAATTAAAAACACAAGGGTTCGCGATTTTCTTCATTTTCAAACGTTTTGAGCTCGGTCTAAGGCGATTTTGGAGAGGGTTTTCGAGGGCATTCTTGAGGTAAGTCCCTTGTGCTCGTTTTTAATCAATAATCTTGTATCCTCATTGATTTTCCCACCTAGTTTGTGTGTTTTTGAGGTGTAATTTGGGGGTTTGGGGCTAGGGATTTGGAGAGTTGATTTGGCAAATTTGGATGACGATTGGGTGTTGGATTTTGATAAAAATTATTTAGTTAGACTCGTTGTTGGATGGGCTTTCGGATTTTATAATTTTTGTCGGATTTCGAGACGTGGGCCCGAGAACTAGATTGGAGCCAATTTCAGATTTTTGAGTTGTAGCTTCGTAATTTCTTGTATAATTGATTCCTTTAGCCCGTATTGATTGTATTGTATTGTTTGTGGCTAGATTCTGGATATTTGGAGGCTGATTTGAGAGGCAAAGGCATGTTGGATTAGAGTTTTGCTCGGATTGAGGTAGGTAACACTTCTAAACTTGGTTTTGATGGTTTGAAATACCAAATTATGCGTTATGTGACTGGTATGAGGTGACGCACATGCCAAGTGACGGGCGTGCACTGTGAGAATTGTGACCTGGTCGGTTCCATGGCACTGTATAGTGGTTCTATCTCATTGATACCCGCATTTTCATCATGTGATAAAGTATTTGAGTTGTCATTCATGCTAGAGATCATGTTTAGGTTGTATGCCGGTACTGTTGGGACCCGTAGTGGTCGTTTCTTGCTGTTGTCTTACTGATTTCTATGATATTTCGTACTCAGTCATACTCATTCATTTCATATCATTTCTCAGTCTCTGTTGTTATTTATTGATACATCATATTATTATTATTATTTTTGAGCTAGTTTCATGATATTGTGAGCCCGTGAGTGAGACTGGAGAGATTGATGACTAAGTGAGGCCGAGACCTTGATTATGAGTGACATTTATGGGATCGGGTTGCACGCCGCAGCGGTTATACTAATTTATGTTAGCGCTTGGGCTGAAGGAGCCCTCCGGAGTCTGCACACACCCCGAGTGAGAGCAGTTAATATTATTGAGGGATGGATCTTCACTGCATATGGATCTTGTCCGAAGCATTATATACCTGGAGATGGATCTTCTCCACGAGCTGGATTGACCCTACTCAGTACTGGGTGATTGAGCACATGAGGCTGTCAGCATTGTGCATCACATATAATATGTGCATTGGCATGTAGAAATAGAGGAGTTATATTCTTCATATCACTCAAATTTGATCTATTTTACTATTTTGAGTTATCTATTTAACTTGAAATAGAGGAGTTATATTCTTCATATCACTGTGCCAGTTGAGTTCGTCACTACCTTTCAGTCCAAAGGTTATATTTGTTACTTATTGAGTTGGTCGTACTCACGCTACACCTTGCACCTCGTGTGCAGATCCAGGTGTTTCTGGTCACGGCGGCTGCTAGTCGAAGAGCCAGGATCCCGGGAGACTATCGAGGTAGTTTCATAGCGTTCCCAGGCCTTGACTCTCCTTCATTATCTTTATTTGTATTTCAGTTCTTATTCCTTAGACTTTATAGTAGACTGTATTCTGGTATAGATGCTCATGTACTTGGTGACACCCCGATTTCGAGATAGATTGTATTGTGTTGCGGATCTATTTCTGTTTCAAAAAGGTTTACTTAAATATTTATTGTTTCCGTAAATATATTAATTTTCAAAGCTTTTACTGTGTTGAAATAGTTGAGTAGTGACTTGCCTAGTTGCAAGATAAGCGTCATCACAACGGTTGATTTTGGGTCGTGACACAAAATCTGTAATCCTATTGTCTAGAGAGAATATATTGAGAATAAAAATCAAGTGTAGAAACTAGCATTTGGATATTCTTTAAAACTAACAAATACGGAACCTAGTAGTTTAAGCATTATCAGGTTAATGTCTTTCCTTCGAACATGTTTCAACGGAATAAATACATTATCAGGTTAATGCCTTATTATTTTGAAGAATGAAGTACTACTTTGGCTGTTTTAATTTATGTGACAACTTTACTATTTCGGGAGTCTACGAGGTTGTTCCTTGATCATATTTTTCTTAAATATTTTATTAATGTTTTGAATTATTGTAAATTTTTTAATGTAACTTTCAAATATGTAAATTTTATTTTGAAAAACTTGAAGAATTTATGTCTAATTTCACGGTCAAAATTAATAACTTTGATTCTCGCACTTGGAATCGCGTCACGTAAAGTGAAACAGAAGGAGTAATAATTACTTAATTTCTTGTATTACTATGATTTTTTCTTTTTAATTTGACACTGCTTCATCAAACTTAAACTCTTATTTCCCCATACTTTCTTTTATATAGGTGTTGGACTACTATCGTAGCCTATGCACTTTGAGAAGGAGGATGGTTAAGTTTAATAATACTTTTCTCAGTAGCAATTCTGTGTTGCTACACGGGATTCCTTTTTTTTTAAAATACATGAGCACTGCTCCAACATTAATCAAAACATATCCAGCTTAGGATTATTAGTTTATGTTTCTGCTAGAAGAGTTTTATCCTCTATACACAAATTTTAACAAATATATGTGACGTTTAAAAAGTATTTATTTATTTATTGATACGGTATGCACGTGTGACGTAGGAGATGTACGGTTATGAATAGGCACATTACTGATTATGTTATTGGGTTAGAGCTAAGATACTTAGGCCAGTTGCTGAATTGAGGAAAACTCAACGTGTGATGGAGGATCCAGGTTGAGACCTGGTGAGCTGAAAAGAATACAAGGCTTATATATAGCAGGAAGATGTAGGAAGTAAAGTATGGAAATACTGAGTCTTTTCTTTAATTTGGTTTAGCTGTTGGAGCACTCTCGAACCTCCCTCCATTCTTGTTTTCTTTTTTTTTTAGTTCCTTTTCCTTGTATCTAGCGTTGTTCACCGTTTGTTAGATACAAAGAAGAGCTTTGTGTGTACAAAAAGAGTAGTGTTACGAACACCTATATGTAATCCTTTAAATAGACCATGATAAAGGTCCATGCTATCACTAGTATTGATAGGAGTTGTCTCCAACTCCAACTTTTCCAATACCCTCCCTACTGTATTCAACGACAGTCAACGACAGTGATGTTAAGGCAGCGGTGCAGATGGCGGTGCATTATGCACTTTCAGGAGGATGGTATAGTTTGATAATACATTATGCACGAGTGATGCATGAGATGCACGAGTGATGCACGAGATGCACATGTGATGCACGCTTCTGCATGCGCATCTGCTATATTGTTATGAGGGGCCTTAATTTTTTAATTTTATTATTATTATTTTTCTAATTTGTCATGACATTTATAGGTGCATCTACGGGCATTAGTCTGTCTATATTGTTCCCACGCATCTGCTACCCCAAAATCAAGAAGCTTTAATCAAGAAGTGTTGGGATATAAGTCATGTTTATTGCCGTGATTATAGCTTTGGGTTCTTTTGTTGCCATATATGAAACTAAATTAAATTAAATTAAATTAAATTAATTAAATATGGTAGTTTTATAACATTTCTAGAAATCGACTACTAAAAATATCGAACCAAAATGTCTAAAAAAAATTATTAATTAGCTTGAAGGGGAGGGTGGCTCAACTAGTAAAGTTGCTGCCATGTGACCAGGAAGTCATAGGTTGGAGCGGCGAAAATAGCCTCTTGCAGAAATATAGGGTAAGCTACGTACAATAGACCTTTCTGGTCCGACCTTTCCCCGAATCCCGTGCATAGCGGAAGCTTAGTGCATCAAGCTGTCGTTACTCCTAAAAAGGCTGCATTTCTGCAAGAGGTTGTTTCCACGGCTCGAACCCGTGGCCTCCTGGTCACATGGCAGCAACTTTACCAGTTACGTCAAGGCTCCTCTTCATTGCCGTTACTTTTAATTAGCTTATTGTTGACCTAGTTGTGTACCCTATGCACTTTGCATACTATCAGTACCCTATGCACTTTCAGAAGGAGGATGGTTAAGTTTGATAATACTTTTCTTGGTAGCAACACTATGTTGCTATACTGGATTACTTTTACAAAAATGTATGAGTGCCTCTCAGACAATCAATACATATGCTGACATTGGTCAATTTGCTTTTGGGAAAAAAGGGAAAATATTAATATCAACTTTTATGTATCTTGAACTATACTTAGTTGCAGTTGAGTTCCTTATATTAGAAGGTGACAATTTCCAAAAATTATTCCCAAATGCAAATATTCATATTGGTGACCTCAAAATTGGAGGAAAAGAAACATTTGTCATGTTAGTTGCTCTAATAATATTGCCAACAACATGGCTAAGAAGCTTAGGGTTATTGGCTTATGTTTCTCTCGGGGGAGTTTTGGCGTCTATTGTTCTGGTTTGCGTAGTTTTTTGGATTGGTGCAGTAGATGGTGTCGGTTTTCAAGAGAAAGGTATACTTTGGATATTAAATATATTTTTTTTTACAGAAAGGTGACATTCTTCTTTAAAAAAAAACAAAAAGAAGAAGAAGAAAGATTGGCGTATAAAATGAAATATCATTTTTTTTTTTTTACAGAAAGGTGATATTCTTCTTTATTAAGTTGATTTTATGAACTATAGCCAGCCACAAATTGTGCCGAAAACCTTATTAATGGTGTCGCTTGCTTATACTTTAAAATTTCTATTACATCGATTTTTATGTGATGAGAATTATAAATTATAAATAGGACAAAAAATTCTTGGAGTTTTAAGATTATAGGAAAAGTTTTAAGGTCAAATTTGCTATTTTTAGTTCCAACATGACCTTACATAACTGTCCAACAGTTTTACCTCTGCTTCTACCAAATATTCCCTCCGTCTCAAATTATCTGTCGTGTTTCTCTTTTATACGGTCCATTGAATATTTATTCTATTTATTTGTCATCTCCATCTTCAAGAATAATTACTACCAAATATAAAATGAAAAAAATAATTTCCAATTGAAGATATATTTCCTTGTCGCAAGAGTAAACCTATGAGCTACTTCATCAGAACAGTTTTGGTCATCAGCACAGTTATTGTTGCATTAGTCGTTCCATTTTTCGAATATGTCATGACATTTATAGGTGCATTTACGGGCATTAGTTTGTCTATATTGTTTCCATGTATCTGCTACCTCAAGATCATGAAGCCTTGCTCAACAAGTGTTGGAATAGAAGTCATATTTATTGGGGTGATTATAGTTTTAGGTTCTTTTGTTGCCATATATGGAACTTATGTTTCGTTGAAAAACATCATAAGTCATGTCCAACAAAAATTATGTACAATTTTTTTTATTTTGGCCAAATACGTAGACAGCTACTTAAACTTGGCTCCAAATTTCAGTTTTGACATGTCAACTAATGTAAATACCTGTTGTATACTCCAACCTTTGGCTTCTGTTTTTGTCCCCCAAACACTTTTGGCACCTAATCCACTCGTCTGCATACAAGCCAGAATTGTTATATTTCAAATATAACATAATTCAAAACAGAGAATGCAAACATAAAGAAGGGCGCATGCCTCAAGATTTATGTATCAGCATACAACTTTAGCTTGGATAACAATTTCGATACAATCACATCATTACAACTGGAAATTGTCCTACAAAGAAGGGTGAAACCCCGACGTACACTAGTCTAGAATCCTGATGAGTACCTCTGTTGGAAAATGGTAGTGGTAAGTTCAGAAGCTAGATCAAAGGATCAACGGACAGCCACGAAAAGTGGTTGATGAGGAAACATAAATCCATTCTCAAACTGGTAAAGAATTAAGCTTACAAAGCTCTTGTAAATTTACGACGATATTTTGGGAACAAATTTCACTTGACAGATTGGCCCAAGCTGCCTTCCATCGACGAAGAACAATTTTTCATCATTATCAAGAGCTCCTCTTCTTCAACTGCCTCTACCATGACGAATTGTACATCAAAAGCCAGGTATGAATCATTACTGGCAGAAAATATGATCTCTTCACAACGGCTTCACTGTCAAGTCTTGTGGATCTTGAAACCAAACACCCTGGGAGTATAATTTTGTGTTGGTTTTTGCGGCTTGAGGTGTCCATAAGTCATCAAGAAGAGATGAGGAAATGTTGTCCCAAAGTAAGCCCCGTCAATATCTTGAGCAGTTAAAGAAATCAAATAAGGATAGAAATAGGCTACTCACGGCAAGCGAACAAATACCAATATGCAACTTATGAGCACAGACCTAATGTCAAAATTTATATGCAACTTAGGAGTGCAGAATCCTTAGGTAAGATGGATGCAGCTCAACTAAACATAAGCACGAATTGCATTAGAGATTCTGAGAAAACATAATTGCTATTAGAGGAAATATATGGATGAAATTAACTAATTGAAAATACATCTCACAAATATGTAAATGTATGTGTGGTGTATTTTATATATATTTTGTGTGTGTGTGTGTGTAGAGAGAGAGAGAGCACATCAAGAAGTGGTAGCAGAAAAGGATACTGCCTTGGTACTTTGATCGGGGGTAATAAATGTCCTCACACTTGGGACAGTATATTTTTACAGTACTTGAGCGCGGAATATCTGATTGACCAACAGGAAGGCAAGGCTGTCCACTGCAATAAACTCGCGGGCATCTTCCAAAGTCGTAGTTTTTGTACTTCTCCAACTGAAAGGTTTGGCACAGATATAAAACCATCATTTCAAGGTTTGGCACAGATACAAGGAACCATCATTTCAAGGATAGGTTAAACAGTAATGAAGATCAAGAGGAGGAAAATGTGAAGTATACAAGAGAATGGTGATAAGAAATTACCATTGCGGCCATTCCCTTGGTAGTCAAAATGTACCGAACATGAATCAAACCATATAACATCTCTGCTGCCGATTCAACTAATTCATTCTGCTCCTCTGTGAACATATCACCTATTCAATGCAGGAAAATTTGACAAACTGCAATTGTCTTAATATGAAAGATGATACTGCTGCATCTTGGATATCAGACAACATTCTTGGTTGCCATTACATAGAGACGGAAGTTTACTTAGATTATCATGTAGGATGTTTTTCTAGCGTGAAAACATAAGCTATAAATAAATGATCGAATAGCTTGATCTGCCACCATTACTCCAAGGATGTACTGGTAGCCGAGAGATTTTTAAGTTTCTTGGACACGGGTGCGAGTGTCCGACACGGGTACAGATCTAGAGGTCGGATCCTTCGATATGTAAATTCTAAGATTCGGGGATACGGATCCTAATACCGATTGGGGTCCGGCTAAAAATAATTCAAAAATATAAAAAATATTTCTAAATTATGAGAAATTTTGTGGAATACTTACATATAGCTTGTCAAGGGTGGATTTCTTTTTTATTCTCAAGTTGTAGATTAGTAAAGGATTGATTTCCTAGATAAAGTATGCTATTTTTTCAAATTTACCCTAGTTTTGGTTTTGATTTAGGGAATCAAATTGTATCTCGTCTCGAATATTTCCGTCCGTCGTGGTCAAAATACCCAAAATTATTTGACCAAATCAGGTACGGATCCCATATCCAAACCCATACTATTGTTGTGTCAACACGGGTGCGGCACCTAAACTGCCATGTCGGAGAAACTTAGGAGATTTTCGGCTCAGGCATTATTATCTTAAAACAGATCCAAGACTTGGAAGAGAGAGTTTGTTAGATCATGCAACAGAACTATTCAAAGCATCACATATATCAGATTTTCAAAGCATCAGAATTAGTTAAGAGACCATTGAAATAGATCAAAACTCCAATAACCCACCCAACC